TAGCCAAGTATGGTTGTGGGCGCCTGTAATCCCAGCTACTTAGAATTCTGGCCGAGACAGAAGAATCACTTGAATTGGGGAGGCAGAGGTTGTAGTAAGCCAAGATGGCACCATTGCACTCCAGGCTGGGAGACAGAGCGAGACTCCATCTCAACTACGACAACAATGGGGAATAAAAAAAAAATAAGTGAATGGAAATAAAGTCTGTTAGATAATTTATTTTAATTCTATGACTGTTGCCTCGGGACACTTAGTTGATCATAATTAGTGGCCTAATACTAGAGTGATAGAGAAAATGAAGAGGGAAGAATGATAAGAGTGTCAAGTGAGTCACTGGGAAGGTTTGGTCAACCAGTGGCTTCATCTGCGCTGATGGTGGCTGGGCTTCTTGGAGTGGGTGGGCCAAGCAGCCTTTTCCAAGAAGGGCTAGGACTCCTGGTCTGATCACAGAATGGGCTGTGAGTGGTTGAGAGGGTGGAGCCTGGGCTTCCCCTGGGGATCTCCAACCTAACCCAGGGCTGGGCACACAAAGATGTATCATAAAGAAATGCTTGCAGGCGGGGTGGGAAGGGTAGGTTCAGCGAATGCCTGCTCAGAGGAAGAGCTAGAAATAAAAGCAGGCCAAAATGTCCAGGCAGCAGCTCCTCTCTGAACAAGAACAAAACTCCGTGGGGAGCGCTGAGGCCGACAGGGCCTACAAAGGCCAAGAGGGCAGAAGTGGGGAATACAGTCAGCAAGGCTTGTGGCAACTTTCAGCAGAAGGCATGAAGCTAACAAAAGCAGAGGTGCCTGTGTCGTTCTGGGATGAAACCATCAGAGACCAGATGAAGGGTCAGACCGGGGTGAGGAATGTCTTTCATTATAAATCACTGACTCATTACAACAAATCATCCGAGGGTGATGTTTACATAAAGTAACCTAATTTTAAGTGTGATGGGTAAATGGGATCTGGGGGAGGGGGACAGGGAGTTTGGAAATGGGAAAATATAAAAAAGGCTTTATCCTTTTCATTAACAAAATAAGAGAGATTAGCAAATGAATTAAATGAATAAAATAAAAAACGCATTTCAAACACATAGAGACCATAACACAGAGATGCAGACACAACTATTAGGGACAGCGGGACACCTGTCAGCTGGCCACGCCTGCAGGGCTCTGAATAAGCCACTCTTCTGTTCAGCACGCCCCGGGTCCCCTTTGAACAATGAGCTTGTCCCCTACTAATGCTCTGCTGGTTTCCATTGTACAAGAACTGAAGTGCTCTCTAGCCTGCTGAAACTGTCTGTAGCAGCCTAAACGGCATTTAAAATAAAGACTGTGAACTGATGAAATGACCAATTATGTTAAGTACCCATGTCTGGTGTAATCCAAACCAAATCTTACCCCATTATCCTCGAAACCGAGAGGTGATTCAGCAGCCCCTCTTGCCAGTGATTCTGAACCAAAATACAGACACTGCACCCGACGTCCAAGAAGGACCTCGAGAACAACCAGTTAGTTCTTGCAATTGGTTTTGTGCTGGGAAAAATAAAGGTACTAAGTTTCCACTCTAAACCAAACAATGATTCGACAATGAAAACTGGTGTCCTGCTCTAACTATCATGTTTTGATTTCAAGGTCATTTCAGGTTTTCACTTTCATTATTTCCTCTTTGGACACTGCATTATGTTTCCCGTCACTATCCCAAGGTATCTATGAAGTACTCACGTTCTACACTGTTGCTATGCTCTCTGTGATGCTAAGTTCTCTGGTTGTTTCTCTTTCTTTGACAATGACTTTTTTTTTCTATTTCCACACACCCATATCTATCTGCTTTTCTAAGGCCTTGCTTAAGTGTCAGTTCTCCCAAGAAGCGACAGCCCCTCTGCTTCCACCCTCCTGACAAAAAAAGGTCTCCCTCCTCTGCATGACAGGGCACCCCCACTGTATTAGTCCATTTTCACATTGCTGATAAAGACATCCCAAGACTGGGTAATTTATAAAGAAAAAGAAGTTTAATGGACTCACAGTTCCAAGTAGCTGAGAAGGCCTCACAATCATGGTGGAAGGCAAAAGACACGTCTTACATGGCAGCTGACAAGGGAGAATGGAAGCCAAGCAAAAGGAGAAACCCCTTATAAAACCATCAGATCCCATCAGATCCCATTCACTACCACGAGGACAGTATGGGAGAAACTATCCCCATGATTCAATTATCTCCCACCAGGCTCCTCCCACAACACATGAGAATTATGGGAGCTAGAATTCAAGGTGAGATTGGGGTGGGGACACAGCCAAACAATTTTCCTTTCCATCCAACTTATTTTCCTATCCTGCATCATTGAGTCTCAGTCCTGGGGAGATGGCACCACTGCACTCCAGCCCGGGCAACAGAGCGAGATTCTGTCTCAACAACAATAACAACAATGACGAAGCACTCCATGAAGCAATTTATCTCTCACCCTAGTTCCATTCAGCCAGTCCTGCTAGTGATCCATAACTCATGACTCAGGATTCCAGATGGCTTCTGCTGGCCGGTCACTAGTCCCACAGCGCCCTCAAGAAAGACTCTGTGTCACCTCCATGTGACCAAACTGCATCTTCTCCCCCAGAGCTAGGAATTGGCATCTTTAGAGACAAACTCCTTGTTCTGATTGCCCTCAACGCCAATACCTGTGGCTGGAACCTGCTAACAGAGTTCCCTACTGGTCTGATTATCTAGAAAAATTTCCTCCCACTTGCTACAGGGAAAAGGAAGGGATATGTGTACGTTTTTTGAAAATAGAAAGTGAGAAATCATAAAGCTGAGAAAGCGGCATTGAACAGGTACATTTTCTTCTACTTGATTCTGACCCAAACCTTCCCCTGGCATGACTAGACAGTCCCTTCTTTAGGGACTCATATCTTTAATCGTAAAACTCTTGCCTGTGGGCATTAGCAACCTTCCCATGGCCCAGTACCACCCACCAGAGGAACATGAAAGCATTAATTAGGAAGAATACCAATATATTCCCAAAAATATTATCACAGCAAAAGTGTCTCCAGAACTCTATACAGACATAGGGAATGAAGAAACATCACAGAAAAAAATGAATGTTAACAAATCCCTGCCCACCCTCCTGAGCTCACACCAAGATTCTTCTGATTTTCAAATGCACAAAATTTTAATGGGTTACATTTAACTGGATGTGGACTCAAAAAGCATCTGAAATCTGTACCAGTTTAATTCACAGGGCCTAGAACAATCGGGAATTTGTAACCCTATCAGGAAGAGAAAAGATGTCTACACCCATGGGACAGAATCTCACACATCTTTCAACTTCAGAAACATTATCAATATTGGTATTTCCCTCATGTTTTTGCCCCACAGAAACAAACAAAAAAACTAATATGCTTACAGCAAATCTTACCTAATGCCAAAGTGAATGAATAAAAATCCTGAGAAAAGGCTGTAAGAAAACAAATCTCTTTTCTTGAAATAATCCAAACCAAATGATATTCATATCAGCGCTATAGTTCTAGAGGAAAAATGACACACATAACTTTGAAACTAACTGAAAAAGAACCCAAAGGCTGACCCTAATCAGTTTCCACTTCTACTCTCTGAAGAGAAACAGAACAGATTTTTTCAAATTATGTGTTAATTTTTGAGAGTGGAGGGACTTCCTTTTGTTTTCTTAAACATTTAGGATATCTATGATGATTATGAAAATTAGAATTAACCAAACTTGCCTGACTACATTTCACCTGTACCAAGCAAAAGTACAGAGAAAAGCTTAAGTTCCCAATTTCACCGGCTACTAAAATGACAATATTCGATTGCGTGGCCTGTACATCAGCGCTAAAAATGTGATGACGTCTCTCACGAGGATTTGGGCTACTACGGAAACCTGAAGACACATGTCTCTCTTCTTAACCACACTTACATTCTACTCCTTCACACATACGGCCAGCTGTCAGCCTGCACTCTTAAGGGAAAGAGGCTACATAGCTCTCAACCAACCAAGACATTAAAATCTCTCACCGTAAGCCCAGTGTAGTTCAAAAACTCTTAGCACAGCCAAATCCACCTGCTTTTGGCCAGCAGGGCCTGTCTGACTCTTAGCCAATCAACAGAAGTAGGAGAGATAGAAAACTCTGAGGCCCCTGGGAATCATTCAGTTCCATTTTATTTACAGAACAGATATCCAAAATAGCAGTAACCCCAGAGTCGCTTCTAAAAGTATTAAAAACACACCCTTCTGCTATTTTTAAAATCATTTATTCCTCCTTAACTTTGGTTATTTCAGAAGAAACTTAATGGCAAAAGTGAGATTAAGGTCGCTGGAATTCCGTGAGCACCCTGGATAGCGGCCAGCACGAGGCAGCTGAGTTGGGCTGGACAACAGCAAGGGGGTCCCCTGCAGGTGACACTTGTGGGGACCAACGTAGGGTGACTGGACTCCGAACCTCAGAACAAACCACAGCCAACCTTCCAGGTACATGTGGACTTCAGGAAACAGCGAGAAACACATGCACCTCCATGATGACAAAAGTGCCAGAATACCCAGACCCTCCTTATTCAGCTCAAGTTTTTGAAACATGTAAAGTGGTTTGCTTTTATCAGCCTAGTTTGTGTTCCTGTCGCATTCTAATTACAACATAATTCCAGTGTTACCACAGCAAGCCGAACACTTCCAGAATATGACCAGTGATGGCGGGCCAAAGAAGCAATCTTCAGAGGCCTGGTTTCAGACTCATGATTCACAGCCACCAAGAGACATGAGTAGTAAGAAATAAAGAGAACTGGACAAACAGACCCAACCCACAACCGTCACACTTCTCCAGAGAGCGGCCACTTCTAAATGGGACAGCACTCTCCTATTTGACACCAAGCACAAAGGAGTGGTGAAAGGGGGTGGGGGTGGGGGCGGGTTGGGGGAGAGGAAGGGGTGTTGCTAAGGACCTACCTTGGAGAAGGGCTCCATTTCTCTTGAAGAAGGTACTGCCCGGCCAGATGGGTGGACCTGATGTGCTGAAAGAGAAGAGAAACTAGCATAAGGCCAAGTTCATCTGCACTCACACACCTGCAACCCCTCCCCACACTTCCCTCAAAACATTTCCCCAAGTATGTGTTACTGACACCCTCTGAAAACGCATCTTTGAAAACCATGAGGTTTGCTTTATTGTAAACAGGTTTCATATTTCACAGTGCAGACGCTATCCGTGAGTATTCTGCTTATCATATTGACCCTGCTCAAGATGGGCACTGAAATCACCTACAGATATACAAAATGGCAAATTCACGTGGTTTAATGGCATAGCATGTAACTTAAGAATATTTGCTAACCTGCTCATAATTTCATGAACGTATATGGCAAAGAACTCCTAATTACGTTTTCTGAGACTAAGTGGGTTTTCCAACACTTTCTTGTGCCATCTGCCTGCTACAAACACAAACTTGCCTTTCTTGGCATTTCTACCACTAAATCCTTAATATACGGAGATGACCTTGGTCGACTTCCTCCTTCCCCCTCTTCTCTTGTTTCGTATCCTGTTTTCAATTTCTTGGCTTAAAATGTTGCACTCCATACCCTATAAAACATTTTGCAGATATGTTACCACCTACACTGTGGTAACAGGAGAGACAAGAAAATCGGAAAGATCAATATGTGACGAAGACACTTACTGCATTTATAGATGAGCGTTTTCACTATTTTAAGACATCTGGTAGAAAACCTTATAACCAAGCCAGTCTTAGTAAAATGTCCTTAGAGTGGCAAGTAGGTTATATTCTAAATGAAAGATTGGTTTAGATTAATGTTAGAAAGTCCTTAGTCAAAAATGTTACTACATCCAGCCCAAGAGGCAGTATAAATTACTATCACCAAAACGGTACATGGCAAATTGTATTGGTTAATGCATTATCAATCACCTTCAATATGAGAAACATAGGTTCGAATAATACGTTTGTAAGTTTGGCAGAAGCAGACACACACACACACACACACACACACACACACACACAGGAATCTGAAGAACAATATGGTAAATACTTCACCAGTCAACCAGGGTCTCTGGTTATCTAGGACAGCAAGCAGAAATGCCATGACACATTCTGCCCACCGGAATCTCATTACTGGAGGTACAAATAGTACAGCAGGTTGATGAGGAGGAGTAGGGACGAAGAAGAAATTAACTAGGGCACAAAAATACGATCGATCACACATCAAAATCATGTCAAATGTGCTAGAAAATATATACTACAAACTTTGATGTTAACGAACCTTTTTGTTTTATTTTGTTTTGGATCCACTATACTAAAATTAAATGAGAATCACGCATCTCAGTTATGATATTGCCTGCAACTCTGACTCTGAGCCTGGCAGTTGTGACCACAGAGTGGCCAGGAGCTACCCAGGGTAACAGCAGACAGGACTGGAGTCTCAGGATGATGACACCAGCTGATTGCTCTTCCATTGGATTCCGATCTTACTCTCTTTTGGGGCATTTAAGGTTCAGAGTTGCATGAAGAATAATGTGCATTAAAATACTTAAGATCTTTTAACAATCCAAGCAAGCTCTCAGGATTTTACCGTCTTATTTTTATAACAAAGCAGGAAACAGCAAGCTGGCTGTTGCCAATATGGAATCACCTGATTTGTAAAGATATTTAAAAACCGAGGACTTCATTATAGCAGAGTTGGTGTTTCTAGAGAATTCAATAACTGAGTATCACTGCAGGAGCCTGAATATCCACCTTACTTCCATCCAAATCTCTTCTTTATCCCGACCTTGATTTGGCTGAAAACTGAGTAGACACCAGGGATGGAGCAATATGGGGAATGAAGGTCAGATAAATCCAGTGGTTTAGATATGGAAAATTCTCTGTATGACAGACATCTACCTAAAGAATCTTACAACATCCTTTCAATGTACTTAAATCACTGATCAGTGATGTTTTAAGAGTCCTCTATAGTCAAGCCCTGTTGCTGCGGAACTTATCTGTACTCTAGCAGTGCAGAGAGACTTGGACTGGCCATCACCTTCTCTTTCCTGGCCCCTGTTGTAACTGATGAATTCGCACATGGTCTCTTTCCAGCTCGAGGTAAGTCAGTTCCTGCCATGCTAACTGCAAAGCTTTCAAGCTCTTTGGCCCCATATTTACACGATTCTTTTGGCTGGTTCCTCAAAATCACATCTTCCAACTGTTAGAAGATCCAAGGATTTATTAAGCCCCTGTTGAGAATTGTGCTTGGTGTTGAGAAAGACTTGAAAAGAAAATTAAAAACCCTATTTTATGACCTCTAAGAACCTGCTGTCATACTTACCTGGCTCCAAACTCCTATGACTCTATCTAATGAGACCAGCGATGCCCATAGCCAAACTCATGGGTATGTCTCCAGTGGCTGCAGGTTGGGAAGGCAACAAGTTTGATTTTCCCCCATCATGTCCCTGGATGGTTGGCCTTTAAAGCTCAAAGTCTGTTAAAACCACACATAGTACATGGAATTATTTAGAAATGTCTATTCACCACAGTAATTCAGAGACAAAACCAGTGATAGAAGTCTTCGTGGGAGGAGTTGCAAACCACCCATCCTCAGGCAGCTCAAGTGCGGGGAGGGCGGGAGTGAGGGGTGCAGAGGAAGAATAGGGTGCTCTCCATACCCAGCCATGTAAATGTCACTGCCTTGAGAAATGACCTTGAGGACCCCTTCTTAACCCCGAGTGGGTCTCAGTCACCTTAAAATGGCATTTGCATTGCTTGATCCTAGGATCCAGTTCACACTCACCGAGCAAAGTCCTCAACCCTTTTCCATGGAATCCTCTAATTCTGCAGGATCACCTTAAAATGGCATTTGCATTGCTTGATCCTAGGATCCAGTTCACACTCACCGAGCAAAGTCCTCAGCCCTTTTCCATGGAATCCTCTAATTCTGCAGGATCACCTTAAAATGGCATTTGCATTGCTTGATCCTAGGATCCAGTTCACACTCACCGAGCAAAGTCCTCAGCCCTTTTCCATGGAATCCTCTAATTCTGCAGGATCACCTTAAAATGGCATTTGCATTGCTTGATCCTAGGATCCAGTTCACACTCACCGAGCAAAGTCCTCAGCCCTTTTCCATGGAATCCTCTAATTCTGCAGGATCACCTTAAAATGGCATTTGCATTGCTTGATCCTAGGATCCAGTTCACACTCACCGAGCAAAGTCCTCAGCCCTTTTCCATGGAATCCTCTAATTCTGCAGGTTGGGCAGGGCAGAAATCACTTTCTTTCTTTTTTTTTTTTTTTCTTGACAGAGTCTTGCTTGGTAGCCCAGGCTGGAGTGCAGTGGCATGATCTCAGCTCACTGCAACCTCTACCTCCCAGGTTCGAGTGATTCTCCTGCCTCAACCACCCAGGTAGCTGATTACGGGCACCTGACAGCAAGCTGGGCTAATTTTTGTATTTTTAGTAGAGATCGGGTTTCACTAACTGATTTCAGTGGCCAGGCTGGTCTCAAACTCCTGACCTCAAGTGATCCACTCGCCTCAGCCTCCCAAAGTGCTGGGATTATAGGGGTGAGCCACCATGCCTGATCCACCCATTCTCTTTATTATTTTTTAAAATTGAGACGGGGTCTTGCTCTGTTGCTGAGGCTGGTCTCAAAATCCTAGCCTCCCAGTGAGCCTCTCGCCTCAGCCTCCCAAAGCCCTGATAATATGAGGTACTGCGCCTGACCACCTTCCCCGTTCTATAGGGAGACAGTCAGAGGTCCTGAGAGGCAAAAGGACTGGCCCAAGACACTGCATGACTAGTTAGTGATCAACCCAAGACAAGACCAGGGCTTGCCCACTGTACCATAGAGACATACACATCGACAGCTCCGATTTAGTTTCTAACCTTCCAGCTTTCCTCTTCTGCTCTTCCAGCACTAAACTCTTAGTCATCCTTCCGCATGGAAGAAGGCTGTGAATGGTATTTTGCTAGACTCTCTCCAAGGCAAAGTCCCAGGCTAGAAAAAGCAATCAGACTAACCAGATGTGAAAGACACGCGGGCTCATATGAGCAGAAACAAGAGAACGCCGGTGCCACAAATGTCTCATTTCAATAATATGCTAACAAAAATCCCATGACCTTCAGCAGTATAAGCCACACCAACTTTGTAACAAAGAAAGCAGTCCGACAGGTTAAGGGGACCTTGCTGGCCAGCAAGACACAGCGCGACCTGGCATTTGAGAACATCGATTCAGCTGATTGTTCCTCTGCTGGGCTTGCAATTCCTAAGAGGTGAGCGATACCGTCCTGAACAGCACACCCGGTGGCTGCCAGAGATCCAGCCCTCAGTCATTCCCCGGACACCACACTCTGGGCCGCACTACCTCCAGCTCCCAAGGGGATCCCTTGAGTCAACAAGGTCCGACAGCCTGAGGGTGACTCTCAGGAAGATGACGTGATCCATCATGTGTTTTTTCTGCACTCAGGAGCCTTAACCATTGTGAGAAACAGCTGCATTATAAACCAAGACCCACACCTGTATTCACCAGCTAAACTTTCTGTGGGTCTCCATGAGAAATAAATTAAAAGGACTTTTTTCTAAGATCTCACCTGCCAAATGTGAACTAGGATCTCTAAAAGAGAGAAAACGGACGGGCACAGTGGCTAACGCCTGTAATCCCAGTACTTTGGGAGGCCAGAGTGGGCGGATCACGAGATCAGAAGTGCAAGACCAGCCTGACCAATACAGTGAAACCCAGTCTCTACTAAAAATACAAAAATTTGCCAGGTATGGTGACACAGACCTGTAATCCCAGCTACTCAGGAGGCTGAAGCAGGAGAATCATTTGAACCCAGGAGGTGCAGGTTGCATGAGCCAAGATTGTGTCACTGCACTCTAGCCTGGGTGATAGAGTGAGCTCCGTCTCAAAAAAAGAAAGAAAAGGATGCTATAACACGGATGAACCTTGAAAGCATGCTAAGTGAAATAAGCCGGAATAAAGAAAACAAATACCGTCTGATTCCGCATAGAAGAGGTAGTAGTCAAACTCACAGAGACAGAAAATGGAACAGTGGTTGCCAGAGGCTAGTGGGAAGGAGGAGTAGGGAATTCAATGGGTACAGAGGTTCAGTTTCACAAGACATGAAGAGTCCTGGAGGTTGGTCGTACAACAATGTGAATGCACTTAACTACAGAACTGCATACTTAAAAAACAGTTAATACGGTAAATGATATGGTAGATGTATTTTACCACAATTTTTTTTTATTTGCAACGGGGTCTTGCTCTGTCACACTGGCTGGAGTGCCACTCTTGGTTCACTGCAGTCTCTCTCCACCTCCTGGACTCAAGCAATCCTCTTGCCTCCGTCCCTGGAGTGGCTGGGGCTACAGATGCGTACCACCATGCCCAGCCAAGTTTGTTTTTCTGTTTCTTTCTGGAGGACAGGGTCTCACTATGTTGCCCAGGCTGGGCTCAAATGATCTGCCCACTTCAACCTAAAAAAATTTTGTTAATGTATTAAAAAGAGAAGGTAGGGAAGGAAGGAGGGAGATAGGAGGAGGAAGAAAGCAGAGATAAAGATCATAAGAAGAACTCTGAAGAAGTGAATGAAAGCCTAGTGTTTTCGGTGAGAAGAAAGGAACAATATCTGAATGTCCCCCACGGTGAGCTCTCTGCCACAACAGTCCACAGCACACAGAAAAGCAGAAAGCCCAAATCGAAGGGGAGGCGGTAGGGGGAGAAAATGGGTTTGGCAAGACCAGCCCATCCTGATTTAGCACTCATGAAGGCCAGAGCTTACCCACTACTCTTAAGCAACTGAGCAGAGTCCCTTCATAATCTTAGTGCTGGGGATGGAATGTGATGACAATCCCTTTGGATGGGTGACATCTACCACCAGACTATGTTTCCCCAGGAATGTAACAGTCCAAGCAGTTGTAACAAAGGGAGAAATGTCCCTGAAATTCAATTGTTTTGCCTTATAAATGGGGATTAATCACCAGGAAATAATAGAAAAGCAAATGTGACCTATGCCACACGGTCACAGGTGCTCTTTGGGTGAAGGATGTCAGTCGTTGGCATTTGCAATGCAGCAACCAGAGCAGGCTGGACAGAGACACATGTGGGAAGCTTCACAAAATACCACTCACTGAGAAGCATCACGAGGAGCACAGATGAAAGTTCAGATTCTCAGGGACACTTTTCTAACCTTCCAAATAATAAGCTTGAGTGTCCTGGCAATTTAAAGGGATCTCTGTGGCCACAGAGTCTAATCCAGGATGGAGTGGAGAGAGCATGGGATTTGGACTCAGGAAATCTGTTTAAACACAGACAGAAAGTCTTTTAACTTGTTAAAGTCTCAATTCCAGGCCTGCAAGCCGGGGGCAAATGATAATATCTAGTGTGTGAGAATAAAATGAGATGAATGGGCAGGAAAAAATGCTTTCTAACCTGCAAAAATCCCAGAGGTGGTTTTTTTTCCCTCTTTTAGATAGAGTCTTTCTCTATCGATCAGGCTAGAGTACAGCGGTGTGATCTGGGCTCACGCAATTCTCCTGCCTTAGCCTCCACAGTAGCTGGGATTACAGGCACGCGCCACCATGCCAGGATAATTTCTTTGTTTTTAGGAGAAACAGGGTTTCGCCATGTTGGCCAGGCTGGTCTCAAACTCCTGACCTCAAGTGATCCACCGTGCCCAGCCCAGTGGTAGTCTTGATTGTAAGAAAACTGCAGTTCAGAGTTGACTGACACGCTCAAAGCCATACAGCAACACTGTGGCAGTTGTCAGGGGGGCACCAGCACTTCCCAACTGGGTTCTCTTCTCCATTCCTGAGACGGATAAGGTAACTGCACTTTTCTCTTCCTCTTTCCTTTAAGGATTCTTTGAGATGTTCTAATTGCAAATGTTTCTCAGTCCAAAGTAGCCACAGTTACTAAATAGCCGAGAGGCAGCTTCAGTGATGTCACTTACTCTAAAGAATGCTCAAAAAAAAAAGTAACTCTGGTGGCTCACACCTGTAATCTCGGCACTGAGGGAGGTCCAGGCAGGAGGATCACTTGACCTCAGGAGTTTGAGACCAGACTGGGAGACATTAAAAATAAAACTTTTTTTATTCTACAAAAAAAAGTACACAAAATTAGCCCAGTATGGTGGCATGTGCCTGTGGTCTCGGGTACTCAGGAGGCTGAGGTGGGAGGATTGCTTGAGCCCAGGAGTTCCAAAGCTCCCGAGAGCCTTGACTGCACCACTGCACTCTAGCCTGGGAAACAGAGCAAGACCCTGTCTCAAAAAAAAACAAAAAAAAAGGTAGCTCCATGCAGAATCCTGCAAAGATCCAAATGGGCACGAAATCAGGAGACAGAAAGAGACCATGCAGAAATCTACCAGCAGTGGCCAATTCAGAGGCTGACAATTATTGAGAGGGCGTGACTGAAGTGATCACACAAACACAAGCTAGGCCCACAAACACTAGAACTGAGAGTGTGGCAAGATTACTCTGAGCGAGAGCAATACACCAATCATGGAAAGAAATGGAATTGCTCTGTGAACTTGGCCAAATGTTGAAACTGGAGACTAAACTGATTTCAAAGATTTAAGCCTGCACGTAGTTCCTGTGTGCCATTACCACCAGGACCCGTGAGAATCTGGCAGGTGGCAGCTGCTCCGGAACCAGATACACTGTGCTATTTTATTTTCCTTTTAAACAATTAGAATTCTATTTTATTTCAGAATAAGTTTACAGTTGAAAATGATGTTTACTATCAACATTATATGAACACAACTTTTATAGCAAAACCCTGGTATGTGAGCATTAATAACCCAAATACTATACAGATATGGAAGATACTTTAAAAATGGAAATGACATACTTCAAAGGCTGTAATAGGTACAATACACCTGTTACAGGCTTTGGAGATATATATATACATGCTTGCACTGAGTCTGTAAGAACTATGCTATAATTCATTAAATGTGATCCAAGAAGTTGCAGATTTTTCAACACTACGTACTGAAAAGATACAAAGGACTATCATAGTCTCTTAACATTGAAAACACATGGGGCCAGGCATGGTGGCTCACGCCTGTAATCCCAGTTGGCGGGTGGACATGGCGAAACCCTGTCTGGACTAAAAACACAAAAATTAGTTGGGCATGGTGACATGGCCCTATAATCCCAAGTACTGGGAGGCCAAGGCACAAGAATCGCTTGAACCTGGGAGACAGAGGTTGCAGTAAGCTGAGATCATGCCACTGTTCTCCAGCCTGGGCACAGAGAGAGACGCTGTCTCCAAAAAGAAAAACCATGTACTATCAAGACTACAAAATCAGAGCAGAAAACCAAAGTAACAAATAGTTCCTTAGATTTTAGGAGAAGTAATACATCTATGGCTTTTCTCACATTTATTTTTGCAACTGGTTAGCAAGTATGGCGGGCAGAAAAGGAAAAAACAGACTATAATACAACATTAGGCCAGGCACGGTGGCTCATGCCTGTAATCCCAGCACTTTTGGAGGCTGAGGCAGGCAGATCACCTGTGGTCGGGAGTCCGAGACCAGACTGACCAACATGGGGAAAACCCATCTCTACTAAAAATACAAAATTAGCTGGGCGTGGTGGCACACACCTGTAATCCCAGCCACTTGGGAGGCTGAGGCAGGAGAATCACTGGAACCCAACCCAGGAGGCGGAGGTTGCAGTGAGCTGGGATCGTGCCACTGCACTCCAGCCTGGTGACAGAGTGAGACAGATGGGACTGGAAGGGACAGGGAGGGGAGGAGAGGCAGGAGGGAGAAAGGGGGAGGGGTAGGGGAGGAAGGAAGGAAGGAAGGAAGGAAGGAAGGAAGGAAGGAAGGAAGGAAGGAAGGAAGGAAGGAAGGGAGGAAAATAGAAAATGTAAGCCACTTGTTTCAGCTCAGTCTCTGAAATCACAGTCATTCCAGTCCTCTTGGCACCCTCCTCTTCATTTACTTCCTTCCAACATGAACATGAGTGCATGTTTCTGGAAAGGATGAGGTTTGGGAGATTCGGGACTTGGATATGGCTTCTGGGGGAGATGCAGTTTGCCCTGTGTGATCCTGCAGGCTGGGATTCTTGTAAAGACCTTCTGGTCATCTGTGACGTGCCAGAGCCCTTTCGTAATCACTTCTCCCTGGTTAAGCCTAGCAAATAAAGCTGAGCATGAAGGAGATGACTCTTCATTTGTGTCTTCATTCTCAAAAAGTGGAGGGGCCCTGGGGGGGGGGGATGTGGAGAAAGGCCAGGCCACAGGAGACAACAGAAAGCAGTGATGTGGGCGCTGCAGGACCCGTTCTGCTCCACGTGAGGCCCACGGTGTGGTGCTCCTTGATGTGTGCTTGAAACTCACTCCAAATATTCACATATGACCTCACCCAATCTACACGGCGTAAACCCCGTGTTTGTAGCCCTTGAAGACGCTGTTAGTGTAAAAGGTGGCAGCATCACGTGTCTCTTTGACGTAAGGACCAGATTTGGGGGACGCGGCTACACAGTCAAGGGCAGGGAGACTTGCTGACAGCTGAGAGATGACTAAACATGTTACTTCCTCGGTTTTCTCTCTGAAAGTTTGGGCTTTTTGAATTTTTCCCGATATGGGTTTCAAAAATGTGGTCACGTATTCTCTTGGGGTTGTTGGTAATGAGATGCCATCAGAAGGAAAGCCCCCGGCACCCTTTCTGCACGAGCCTCCAAGTCACCAGCAAGGCTCCTATTGTTCTTCAAAAACTTGGCCATCATGCTGTTCATCAGCTTATCAAAGGCTTCCACACCTCCACTGACACCTCTGACCCCACAGTCACCAGGGGGCCTGTGGGACTCTGCAGACAGCAACTCCAGGCAGCTGACAGTCCTCTCCAGTATTTCCAGCAGTCCCTGCACGTCTGCCATTCTGCTTTGCTGCCAAGGGGTCCTGTCCTCAGCAATGCAAATCCGTGGCTGGCCACTCACACCAGCTCTTCCTGCAATCCTTACTGTGTTGTTTTAAATATACTGAAGTTTCTTCACATTCCCCAAAGCATGCCATGAAGCTGCGGCTTCATTCCTTGAACGTGTTGGAGAACTGCTATTGACCTACGGCAGGATTGCTTTTTTATTTTTGAGATGGAGTTTCACTCTTGTTGTCCAGGCTGGAGTCCAATGGCACAATCTCAGCTCACAAAAACCTCCACCTCCCGGGTTCAAGCCATTCTCTTGCCTCAGCCTCCCAAGTAACCAGGATCACAGGCATGTGCTGCCACACTCAGCTAATTTTGTATTTTTAAGTAGACATGGGTATCTCCATGTTGGTCAGGCTGGTCTCAAACTCTGAACCTCAGGTGATCCATCTGCCTTGGCCTCCCACAGTGCTGGGATTACAGGCCTGAGCCACTGCTCTGCCAGGATTTCTTAACCTCAGCATTACTGACACTCTGGACGAGATAGTGCTTGTCCTGGGATGCTGTGCATGGTAAGATGCTCAGCAGTCTGCCTGGCCTGCCACTAGATACCAGTGGCACCCACCTCATCAGCTGTGACAACCGAAAATGTCTCCAGTTACTGCTGTGCCTCTACTGGGGGATAAAACTGCTCCCAAATGAGAACCCAGGTAAGCTGCCCCCAATCTCTCCACTCATCAAGTCCCAAACCTCCCTCCCCACATTTCAGCAGGACCGTCACCTCCTCTTTCCTAAAGCAAGGACATGCCCTTCCTTCTGCCTCAGTTCACTGGCTCCATTATTTCTGCCTGCGTGTTCATCTTCTTACTCGTCAAAGGAACATCTCTATTACCCTTCTTTCCCTCTGGAATCTTCTACACCTTGTCGCTACTCACTTCCCCCTTCCCAGGACTGATGATTTCTTTCTTTTCTTTTTGAGATGAAATTTCACTCGTTACCCAGGCTGGAGTGCAATGGCGTAATCTCGGCTCACTGCAACTCCTGCCTTCCAGGTTCAAGAGGTTCTCTTGTCTCAGCCCCCTGAGTAGCTGGGATTACAGGTGTGTGCCACCATGCCCAGTTAATTGTTTTATTTTTAGTAGAGATGGGGTTTCACCATGTAGGTCAGGCTGGTCGCAAACTCCTGACCTTGTGATACGTCTGCCTTGGCCTCCTGAAGTGCTCGGATTACAGGCATGAGCCACCACATCTGGCTGATTTCTTATCTTCATCATCATTGGGGTCCAAGTCCTCCTTTTGGCTCCCATTATTCTGCCCTGCACTTGCTAAGCCCAAAAGAATGGGACGGACAGCCCAGACTCCACTCCCTCATGTCACCACCACGATCCTCTTCCTGCCGGGGTCACGGGGTCACCCAATTCCCCAGAAGCTATGGTTTGCATGTGTCCCTCCAAAATTCAGGTGTTGCTATGGTGATAGTAATGAAGAGGTACGGCCTTTAAAAGGTGATTAGACCACGAGGTCCCCTTCCTCATGAATGGAATTAGATGCCCACATAAAGGGGCTTAAACGGGGAGTCGCCCCCTTTTCTGCCTTCTGCCACGTGAGGACATCTTGCAAGCAGCCCTCACCAGACAATGAACCTGCCGCAGCCTTGATCTTGGACCTTCCAGCCTCCACCATTGAGAGAGATACATTCTTATTATTTATAAATTACCCACTTTGTGACAGCAGCACACACAGACTAAGACAAGGGGTCACTGTCCTTGATTTCACTCAGCCTCTCTCCCGTCCCCACCATATGACCTCCCACAGGCACTCACATAAGAGGCCTCTTTCTGGGTTACATAAACTTCCTATTGCTTTAGACAATAGTTCTTAAAACTCCTTTCCACCTTGAGCCACAAAACACCCTCCTGGCCCAGGTTCTGCCCCTCCCACTGTTCTTTCCAGATGGTCTGCTAGCTCTTTGTCCAGGCTCGGCCCCACCATCAGGGTGTTCCTGGGGTTCTAGCCCTCCCCTCTTTTCTCCTCATGCTCTTTTCCTAGGAGAGTTCCTGGAGAGGCTGGGTTTTCCTCTTCCCCACCAGCTGATTTTGTTTCCAGATGCTGGAGGGTATCTCCAGAGGGCTCTACACAGAGCAGCTTTCGGCTGCTCCTAGCCCCCACAGCTGCGCAAACCGAAAGCAGCTTCCCCTCTGCCTCCCAGGGCACGCTCAACATGTTGCCCAGGATTCATCAGTGTCTGTATTCGTTTGCTGGGGCTGCTATAACAAAGTACCACAGACTGGGGGATGTAAGCAACAGAAATTCCTCCTCTCACAGTCCTGGAGGGCAGAAGTCCAAGACCAAGGGATGAGCAGGGCTGGATCCTTCAGAGGCCTGTCGGGGAGAACCTGCTCCTGGCCTCCCTGGTGGCTGCTGGTGTTTGCTGGCGTTCTCCCGCTTGTAGAAGCAACACCCTGCCTTCACCTCTACACGGCATTCTCCGTGTGTGCATCTGTCTTCAAATTCCCCCTTTTCCAAGCACATGGTCATGTTGAATCAGGGGTCCACCCCACTCCAGTGTGACCTCATCTTAACTAATGACATCTGCAAGGACCTTATTGGAAATACAGGCACACTGGAAGTAAGGGCACATTCTGAGGAACTGGGAGTTAGGGCATCAACATATGAATGGAAGGGGCACAATTCTCTCCAGACAGAGGCTGACTCCCTTTCATGTGCACAGTCTCTGGGCTATATCGAAACACCTGTGCACTATCTTTTCCTGAATCCCTAATACCTATGGCAGTGCCTGGAACCCGGCTGGCACACATGTCCGTCAAGGGAAGTAAAGTTTATCCTTTAATTCAGCATTCCTCAAAGAACAAAACAGGGCCGGGTGCAGTGGCTCACGCCTGTAATCCCAGCACTTTGCAGGGCCGAGGTAGGCAGATCACGAGGTCAGGAGAGGGAGACCATCCTGACCAACATGGTGAAACCCCGTCTCTTCTAAAAATACTAGGGAAAAAAAAAAAAAAGCTGGGCATGGTGGCACATGCCTGTAGTCCCAGCTACTTGGGAGGCTGAGGCAGGAGAATTGCTTCAAACCGGGAGGTGGAGGTCGCAGTGAGCCAAGATCGTGCCACTGCACTCCAGCCTGGTGACTGAGCAAGACTCCATCTCAAAAAATAATAATAATAAAATAAAGAAAACAATGGACTCACCCTTGGCAAACATCTAGAAACGGGTGCGGTGGCTCACACCTGTAATCCCAGCACTTTGGGAGGCCAAGGTGGGTGGATCACAAGATCAGAAGATTGAGACCATCCTGGCCAACATGGTGAAACCGTCTCTACTAAAATAAAAAAAATTAGCTGGGTGTGTGGTAGCACGTGCCTGGGCATGGTAGTCCCAGCTACTTGGGAGGCTGAGACAGGAGAATCGCTTGAACCCAGGAGGCAGAGGTTGCAGTGAGCTGAGATACGCCATTGCACTCCAGCCTGGGCAACAGAGTGAGCTTCTGTCTCAAAAAAGAAAATAAAAAAATCTGGAGACTCTGACACCTTCCTCAGCCAGCCCCTGCCTCCAATCCACGTCTATCCAGTCTATCCAGGCCCATGCATTCTTCCTGAGGGCTCCTGCACTTTCCCTTCCTGTTTCTACTCCTGGGCTGCCCGGGGTCAGCTCAAGTTAAGATGTCCCCTCCTGCATGCTAATAGGCCTCTCTGCCCACAGCAGGCAGCCCTGCCTGACCCCTCAACAGCCTTCTCAAAGCACAGCATCTTCAGGCGCCGTCCCCTGGGTTTGCCAACTTAGAGAGGTGCCCAGGGTGCTATCTGGGGTGGGGGACTGGTATTACCGGAGCTGCCCAATGTCAACAACGCACCTCATTTTTCATGTGTCTCATACACCAAGTCTCCACATACGTCTTCATCCGATGAGTTTGGTGGCTACAGAAGTGTGAATGTGTCAGAGGCGTCTGAAGCAGAGTAACTCCATCTTGAATAAGAGCTGGGTAAAATGAGGCTGAGAACTACTGGGCTGCATTCTCAGATGGTTAAGGCGTTCTAAGTCACAGGATGAGATGGAAGGTCGGCCTAAGATGCAGGTCACAAAGACCTTGCTGATAAAACAGGCTGCAGTAAAGAAGCCGACAAAACCCACCGAAGCCAAGATGGCCACGAGTGACCTCTGGTCGTCCTCACTGCTACACTCCACCAACGCCACTGACTGTTTACAAATGCCATGGCAACATTAGGAAGTTACCCTATATGGTCTAGAAAGGTGAGGCATGAATAATCCACCTCTTACTTAGCATATAATCAAGAAACAACCATAAAAATGGGCAACCAGCAGCCCTCAGGACTGCTCTATATATGGAGTAGCCTTTTGGTTTCTTTACTTTCTAACTCAAGTTGCTTTCACTTTACTGTGAAATCACCCTGAATTCTTTCTTGTGTGAGATCCAAGAACCCTCTCTTGGTGTCTGGATCAGGACCGCTTTCCTGTAACAAATGCTTACAGGGCAGGGTGAGAGGCAGTCAGTTCTGGTGCCTCTCAGAAGCCCTCCTGTTCCTTCCGAGCTTGTCCCTCTGCTCTTGATATCCCCGCCTGGCACAGGTCTCCAGAACACTAGCACCCTGGCGGCTTCCCGGGCCCATCCAAGCCCAATCTCTCCCTCCGCTGCCAAAAACACCCTACACCTATTTTTCTCTTCACCTGTTACAGCCTACCCATCCTTTAAAGTTCAACTTGAATCCCAGGCACCCAGGACACCTTACCTGGTCACTCTCACCCTGAGACCTCTCCCTCCTCTGAATCCTTCTGGCAGATACCTTCTGTGTAGCTCATCTGGGAATTAACTGCACTCTGCAGTGTCTTCCCATAACGCCTTATACCTTTAACTCGCTGCCCACAGGGGTGTGTGTTTCACCTTACTGTGGCAGATGTCATGTGGGCAGAGGCTAACGGTGACTCCTCTCTTAGAACTTAGCCAGGTTCACAGCACACGGAAGATGGTTGTCATTATCCTACTAAGTGATTCTGAAAAACAGCGGGAATGCTACCTGCACCTCCCACACAGAAATATCTCAAACACTAAGGAATTTTTTTTCTCTTTTTTTGAGACAAGGTCTCAATCTGTCACCCAGGCTGGAGTGCAGTGACACAATCACAGCTCAATGCAGCCTCAACCTCCCAGGCTCTAGCAATCCTCCTACCTCAGCCTCCTGAGTAGCTGGGACTACAGGTGCATGCCACCATGCCTGGCTAATTTTTGCATTTTTTTGTAGACACGGGGTCTTGCTATGTTGCCCAGGCTGGTCTTGAACTCCTAGGCTCAAGAACTCCTCCTGCCTCAGCGTCCCAAAATACTGGGATTACAGGAGTAAGCCACCATGCCCAGCCAGGACTTTTTAAAAATCTCTTATAAACATAATTAAATCTCTCACAAAGAAACTAGCCTATAGGAACAAACACATCTTCTATCATCATCTCAAATGAAAACTCAAAAATCTTTAAAAATGGAAAGAAAATTATAAATCTCATCATTCATAGTAATAGATACATAAGTTGGATTCCTCTTTTCTGCGATGTCTTGATTCCTTAGGAACAAACAACTAGATAAATACATGTTTTTTTTTAATAATACGGGATGCATGTTTGCGTATATATTGAAAAAATTCTGCTTAAAACCGCGGCTACAACTTTAGATGTGTACAGCTTATGATACATCCCATGAACAGATGCAAAGGTGTATATCATTATCTTTGTGCTACACAGTTTCTAATTTTACATATGAAAACCAAGGCATCATTCACTATAAAGTACATTATTTGCATGATATATTTGCATTTGTAAAACACCCACATTTACTTTTACTGCTTAATGGGTCCTGATTTAAATGGGCCACTCTATATAAATGGAGCACACTGGTTCTCCACTCAATGGTGTTGATAAGAAAACTACTCCTTTTAGATGCAAATGAGTCTACTAATCACAATTAGAATGGTGGAGTTGAGGGAGGCAGAGCAGCTGGGCCAAGAGCTCCCAGTCTAGTAGGGCCAGTTTGGTTCTAGCTTCATCCCTGGAGCAGCAGCTTGGGACTTCCCCAGAGGACCTCTGCCGAGGGGCCCCCAGGGATACACTCAACCTTTCTCAATGGAATCTCCCTCTGTTGCCTAGGCGGGAGTGCAATGGCACGATTTCAGCTCACTGTAACCTCCACCTCCTAGATTCAAGTGATTCTCTTGCCTCAGCCTCCCAGGTAGCTGGGACTACAGGTAACTGCCACCATACCCAGCTAATTTTTGTATTTTTTAGTAGAGATGGGGTTTCACCATGTTGGTCAGGCTGGTTTCGAACTCCTGACCTCAGGGTCATCCACCCGCCTTGGCCGCCCAAAGTGCTGAGATTACAGACATGAGCCACTGCGTCCGGCCCAAACTCAACATTTCTAAAGGGGCTGGAGGAGAGGAGAAACAGCTCCAGAATTTGGGCTCGCTGTGCTTGTGTGAATGAGTCTATTCCTGGCCTTCGTTATCCCAAACCTGTCCATAGGGCCAGATATTAAGCAATACAGTTCAAACATGAGTGGAGTCATAGGAGGGAGAACAGCATGGGAAAGGCAAGTAAAAAGAAAACCTAAGTAACTATATAAGACATTACCTAGACTAATGCCATGAGGCAGCACAAGAGACATCCCCTTAAAACGGTGCAGTCACTCTGAAAACCAGTATGGCAGTTCCTAACAAAATTAAACATAGGAATATCCTAAAATCTAACGGCTCCAATTCTCGATATATACCCAAAAGAACTGAAAGCAGGGACTTGAAGAGATACTTCTACACCCATGCTCATGGAAACGTTATTCACAGCTAGGTGCGCTCACACCTGTAATCTCAGCATACTGGGAAACCAAGGCAGAAGAATTGCTTGAAGCTAGGAGTTCAAGACCAGCTAGGGCTACATAGCAAGACCCTGACTCTACAAAAAAATTTTTTTAAGTCACCAGGTATGGTGGCACACACTTGTAGTCCCAACTACTTGGGAACGTGAGGCAGGAGGATGGCTTGAGCGCAGGAGTTCAAGGTTACAGTGAGCTATAGATCATGCTACTGCACTCTGGCCTGGGTGACAGAGAGAACATGTCTCTAAAAGAACAAAACAAGAAGAAGAAAAAAGAAACATTATTCACAATAGCCAAGAGGTGGAAGCAACACAACCATCCCTCAACGGATGCATGGATAGACAAAACAAGAGAATAGTTTTCAGCCTTTAAAAGGAAGGAGACGCTAACATATACTGTAACATGAACCTTGAGGGCATTATGCTAAATGCAATAAGCCAGTCACAAAAAAGACAAACCCTGTATAATTCCACTTATATAAGGTATCTAGAGTCATTAAATTCATAGAAAATAGAATGGTGGTTGCCAGGAGCTAGGTGCAGGGGAATGGGGGGAGTGGTTGTTTAATAGGTACAGGGTTTCCGTTTTGCAAGATGAAAACAACTGGAGATGATGACAGTGCTGGCTGCCCAACAACTGAATCTATTTAATGCCACTGAACCAAGTGCACTTTGGGAGGCTGAGGTGGGCGGATCATGAGGTCATGAGTTCGAGACCATCTGGCCAACATAGTGAAACCATGTCTCTACTAAAAACGCAAAAAATTAGCCGTGTGTGGTGGTGTGCACCTGTAATCCCAGCTACTTGGGAGGCTGAGGCAGGAGAATTGCTTGAACCTAGGAAACGGAGGTTGCAGTGAGCTGAGATCGCGACACTGTACTCCAGCCCGGGCGACAGTGTGAGACTCCGTCTCAAAAAAAAAAAAGGTAAAATAAAATGAAAAATTAAAATGGCTGGAAGATACATTTTATTTCATGTGCATTTTACCACAATTTATTAAATAAATAACAGATAGATCACAGACAGGCCGATAAGCAGACATTTCCTAATGGCTGGCCAGACAGTACACAAGGCAGGTGACGCCTCTGCTGCTCCACTGCCAGCCTCTAGAAATAAGGGCTGGTTTGCTCAGTTCTTTTCTCTTCCTCATCCATTCACTGAATAAACATGTTTTTACATTGCTATGAGGACCTTGTGAGGAAGTAACCATCCTGTTCTCTGCGAGGCAGGGGCATGGGTGACAAAAAGCTCAAGGATTCTGGGAAGAACCCATGCAGCTCTGGACACTATGAGGCCATGCCTTTGGATGTCTTGGTTACTTCGCCAAGAATGAAACCAGAAACTAAAATCTTCTGGACAACAGCCTGCTTGGTGGGTAGAATCCACTGACAATCTCCTCTTCCACGCGGCCCATGCCAATTATTACTTGACCCTCGTCTTTATCTTCTTGGAACCCTAAAAGTGCTGCTGTGGGACTTCAATACTAACTGTCCTGCCTCCTGGGAATAACCATAGATCCTCCAAAGGTGACATCCACCTTCTGGGTGCTGCTATTATCACAGCCCAGAAAATAGCTGATAGGGTTTGGCTACATCCCCACCAAAATCTCACCTTGAACTGTAAGGGTGGGGTCAGGTGGAGAGAACTGAATCATGGGGGCAGTTTCCCCCACACTATTCTTGAGGTAGTAAATAAGTCTCACAAAATCCGATGGTTTTATATATGCAAATTCCACTGCACAAGCTCTCTTGCCTGCCACCATGTAAGACATGCCTTTGTTCCTCCATTGCCTTCCGCCATGATTGTGAGCCTCCCCAGCCATGTGGAACTGGGAGTCCATTAAACTTCTTTCCTTTATAAATTACCCAGTCTTGGATGTCTTTATTAGCATCATGAGAACAGAGTAATGCAGTAGCCCTTCAGTACATTCTCTTTGGTGAACTTCTGGGGAGCTGAAACCTGGAGGCTTTGCTCCATCCCATGCCATCTCCTCATCTCAGCCTCACTGATCCCCAAATACAGAAGCTGAGTCCCTCAAGGAGTGGCTTATAGGATGCTGGCAAGCCTCAAAGATAGAGATGATAGAAGGTGACCCTGGGATACTGTCTACACCTCCCCTCTGGCCATTCTGAGCCCAGAGAGGGACCAGATGGCCAAGTTTGGACTTGAGGGACTGTGAGCCTGAGGAAGCCCAGCCTCTCGCTCCCTCCTTTGGCAACAGTTTCACAGAGGTCTTGACAATGGTACAAGGGGCTCCAGTGTAACAGGTGGAACCAGCTGAGGACTAAACACTGTTAGTATGCTTAGAGTGCTTGACCCAAAGACAGTGGTAAAACCTTGCCTAAAATCCCCTCCCATCAAGAGCAAACACGCGGTGAGTAAAAACATCATTTCACCTTGAACTGAATTGCAAGGGAGCAAGAAGGCTGGGCACACTTGCATTTCCTGTCCTAGCACAGCAGCAGCATTTTGAGGTGTTGACTCACAACCGCACACTGCCCATTATACAGTGTGAGCAACATGATTCCCTCATTATTCCACGAACTGATAGAACATTCGGCAGAAGTACCTCAGTCCTAGAGACAAAAGTCACTAGGACCTATTTATCTTTCAGGATTTTAGAGATCGAGAAATATAATTTTTTTTTTTGAAATGGAGTCTCGCTCTGTCACCCAGGCTGGAGTGCAGTGGCATGATCCTGGTTCACTGCAACCTCTACCCTGTGCCACTGTGCCCGACCAAGAAATGTTAAGTATTTTTATCCAAGTTTTTGACAGTCTGGTTCCTGGTACTTCCTACGATGCTGAAAACCAGTCACAGACAAGAAAATAACCTATTTGTGGAAAAACTGTGATTTCCCTTGATTATTCATTTCCTCCCTTTGAGAGCTAGTCCCATCCCACAGCCCACCACAAAGATGAGAGACATTAACACTGATTTTGGAAAGCTGATGACATAGAAGGGACACCTCAATCTAAATGCTGTATCAGGAAGACCAAATCCAGGCACTCAAATGCTGAAGTTGCATGTGATAGTGCAGATGTTTATTTATTTATTCACTTACTTATTTATTTGAGACGGAGTCTAGCTCTGTTGCTCGGGCTGGAGTGCAATGGCATGATCTCAGCTTGCTGCAACCTCCGCCTCTAGGGTTCAAGCAATTCTCCTGCCTCAGTCTTCCAGGTACCTGGGATTACAGGTGACCACCACCAGGCCTGGCTAATTTTTTGTAGTTTTTTTGTAGACCTCAAGAGTGTAGATCACTCTTGACCTCAAGTGATCTGCCTACCTTGGCCTCCCAAAGTGCTAGGATTATAGGTGTAAGCCACTGTGCCCGGCCTCAGATGTTTGTTTATTATTTATTTATTTTAAGACAGTCTCTCTCTGTCACCAGGCTGGAGTGCAGTGGCACCATCTTGACTTACCATAACCTCCACCTGCCAGGTTCAAGTAATTCTCCTGCCTCAGCCTCCCGAATAGCTGGGATTACAGGCATCCGCCACCACACCCAATTAATTTTTGTATTTTTAGTAGAGCCAGGGTTTCACAATATTGATCAGGCTGGTCTTGAACTCCTGACCTTGCGATCTGCCCACCACAGCCTCCCAAAGTGCTGGGATTACAGGCATGAGCCACCTCGCCCTGCCAGATGTTTATTTTTTATGAAACATTTTTCCTATGATTTATTAAATCTACTTATGTTTTGCTTCAAAGTGACAAAAAGTGATTTTAAATTTCCAAAAGGTAAGACACACCTATAATACTAACATTTGGGAAGACTGAGGCAGGAAGATTGCTTGAGCCCAGGAGTGTGAGACCAGCTTGGGTAACACAGGAAGATCCCATCTCTACCAAAAACAAATAAATAAATAAAAGAAAAAGAAAAAAAATAGCCAGGCATCATAGCATGTACCTGCAGTCCCAGCTACTCAGGAGGCTGAAATGGGAAGATCACTTGAGCGCAGGAGCTTGAGGCTGCCATGAGCCAGGATCATGCCACTGCCCTCCACCCTGGATGACAGAGTGATACCCATCTTTAAAAGACAAATCTGGGCCGGGCACAGTGGTACATGTAATCTCATGTAATCTCAGCACTTTGGGAGGCCAAGGTGAGCAGATCATGAGGTCAAGAGAGACTAACCTGACCAACATGGTGAAACCCTGTCTCTATTAAAACTGCAAAACAAAATTAGCTGGGTGTGGTGGCGTGCACCTGTAGTCCCAGCAACTTGGAACGCTGAGGCGGAAGAATCACTTGAACCTGGGAGGCAGAGGTTTCAGTGAGCTGAGATCACGCTACTGCAGTCCAGCCAGGGCAACAGAGAGAGACTTCATCTGAAAAAAAAAAATCTGGCTGAATGCGGTTGTTTACGCCTGTAATCCCAGCACTCTGGGAGGCTGAGGTACGTGGATCACAAGGTCAGGAGTTCAAGACCAGTCTGGCCAAAATGGTGAAACCCCATCTCTACTAAAAATACAAAAATTAGCTGGGCGCAGTGGCAGGCACCTGTAATCCCAGCTACTCAAGAGGCTGAGGCAGGAGAATCGCTTGAACCTGGACAACAGAGGTTGCAGTGAGCCGAGATCGTGCCATTGCACTCCAGCCTGGGTGACAGAGTGAGACTCCATCTCAAAAAAAAAAAAAAATTCCAAAAAGTCATCTCTTCTGTCTCCCAAGGCAACAAAGAACTGTGATGGGCATGAGCAACCGAACAATGTCTTCCTCCTTATGCTTCTCACTGAGCATAAAGGCCCCGCCCAACCTCGAATGTGCCCTATCTACTACTCCCTCCTTTCCAGGTGACCTCTGGCCACCTCCCTCACCACCCATACCAAGCTTTTGCTTGCTTGTGACTCTTGCTGTTCTCAAACTGTCACATGTGTCCCTCTCTCAGTCCCTCCCCACACAGTGTAGCTCAGGAAAACTAAAAAGAAAACAGATGGGAAGGCCAAGTGCATTGGTTCTCTTCCACCATGACATAGCTGGGCCTAAGAGACTGATTCTTACACACCTAGCACCTTATACCCATCTGATTCTTCGAGAAAACTACAGGAACATCCATTCCTCTCCTTGAAGTGAAGTGAGGCAAATAATATTTCTAAACTTTAATGAAAGCATTAAACTCAGAGGGAATATAGTTTCAAAAAAGTATTGTCATTTCTTGGCCATATTTATGTAACTATGAGGGTGTGTCCACAGAGCTTTGCAAAATGTGGCACACACTGTCCTTCTCAGCGCCTTTCTTCCTGGGTATAAACGGTTAAGGAGGATTGTCAGAGAGGGTTTTGCTGTGGTTTACTTTGTTCTGTGCTTGCCTCTTCTTTGAATTCCCATGGCATGTAAGAATGACCACATAATTGCAGCTTTAAACATCACCCGAAAAACCTTAGTCTCCTGAAACCTTTGGAGGAAACTGACTTACATGCACGGACTGTGATTCTTGGTGCTGGGTCATGAGGCTCACCTGTGCAAGTCCCCTGACCACACACAGGCCACACACCGCTGCCAAGGCGTGCACCTTCCTCATCAATCCTACCTGGCCTGAAAGCTCCTGAAGGATGTGACTTATCCTACAAAGCCACTTGCAGAGCCCAGTACCAACAGGGTCTGAGACGGTATGCTACTTCTCTACCTTTCATCTGCCCTTCCCTGTCCCCCTCCAGCCTCTTCAAAGGCAATGTTCAAAGGAGTCACAGGCCACCAAGTTTCAAAACTGCTCTCCAGCTTAGCCTTTCCTGGAGGACACTTTATGTGTAGGGCATGCTTTGCTGGCACTAAACTGCTACCTGTTATATACTTCATATAAACATACGCAGGGACTTTTGCTAGCAATGACTCCACTTTAATTTGTGTATGATCCAGGTAATCATGTGCTCAAAATGACTCCTGGCCCCCTGTGACCTGTGCCACTTCTGTGGTTTTTTTGTTTTGTTTTATTTTGTTTTGTTTTAGATGAAATCTCGCTCTGTTGCCCAGGCTGGAATGCAGTGACTGGATCTCGGCTCACTACAACCTCCGCCTCCCAGGTTCAAGTGATTCTTCTGCCTCAGCCCCCTGAGTAGCTGGGACTATAGGTGCGTGCCACCATGCCCAGCTAATTTTTTATATTTTTAGTAGTGATGGGGTGGTTTCACCATATTGGCCAGGGTGGTTTTGAACTCCTTAGTTCATGATCCACCCGCCTCGGCTTCCCAAAGTGCTGGGATTACAGGTATAAGCCAACACACCCAGCCCTCTTCCATGTTCTTTAGCACAATTGGCTTCACTTGCTCCAGCTTCTCCTGCCATCCCGTCTTGTAGTTTTTCTGCTCTGACAATACCAAGTTGCTCATGGTCCCCTGGAGACACCAGAACACCTCTGACCTCTGTCACTGCTCACTCAGTTGCTCCAGCTCGGAATGTCCCTCTCTCCCTTGTCTTTTTTTGCAAACTCTTAACGCGGTCTTGAAAATACTGCTCCTCCTGTCTTCTTCCTGTCTCCCTCCATGCCCAGAGCAGATCCTATGTCTTAGGCAGTCTCCTTTCCACGCAACCTGCAGTATTGTAAGTTATTTATTTATGGAGCTGGACTGTGAGTTCTCTGAAGACACTGACTATCTGATTCAGCTGATATCCCCAGTAGCATGGAGTAGGTGTTCAACAAACAGCTGCTAAAAAAACCTAGCCCTATCAAGTATATAGGGCTGGCACTGTGATCCTCATTTTGCAGCTAAGAACACTTAATTCAGAAAGGCAAAGTCGCTTAATGAGGCAAAGTCGCTTAATGAGGGGCGCATGGCTAGTAAGTGACTCATGCTCTCTTCATTGCCATGATGCTTACATAACCACCTCCCACTTCCTGCTGTCTCTTGAGTTTGGTGACCTACAGGAAAGAAAAGGAAAACTGAAGAAACAATAGAAACACTTCAAAAATTTAGTGGATGTTTCTGAGCATCTATACATCACCTTTTTTTCAGAACAGACACTTAGGACAGTCCTGTAATTCACCAACATCCGTGTATCTACTTTAACTTGGGGCCCAGGCAACCAAGCACTAAATGAACACTACCCTGTCTCTGCAAGGTGATGGGGGTCTGAACAGGGATAAGACGCCTTATAACTTTGAAGGAGAGATTTACACACCCCTGTGTCTCCCATGTAAATGGACTCAAGAGCTGCAGCAGTGCACAAATGATCCTTTCTTTCCACTGTTGATAGTTGAAAGCAGCCGTTTCCAGCTTCTTGCCGGTGATCACTCTGCTAAAAATAGCTTTGATGCTGTCACATGCAAACTTGAACAGAACCTGAAAGCAGTTCCCCTTTTAGTTCTGAACTGGTTCAACTTTAAAAGAGAGGCAGCTGTTAACATACTCCAGTGTGTTTACATGACGCTGAAGTAGTTCAGCTCGTAGTAAAAATACGACTGAAAAGGGACAGGCTTGGGTTTGCAGCCTCTGCTGACAACATTTCCTTATGCTGAGCTGGAGCCCAGGGAAGGGTGATGAGGTTAGCAGGGAAAATCCACAATGTCCAGTTTGAAGGGGAAAGTGACAGTGAGCAGAACTTCAATGAAGGCAGGAGAGAGACACTTGCTGAGACGTGAGATTTCTGACTATGCTGGAGGTGTGGGCAGGAGAGGTGACAAAGATCACAGAGAGGAGAACTTACACAACAAGGGGTGCTTTTTAAAAATCCTATTAAAAATATCTAAGGGCTGGTTTTGTAGAAATCAAGGAAACAAAGGATGAAATACATTGAACATCTTGGCCACTCATCTGACACCTTATGTTGGTTTGCTGGGCAAATGGATGATCTGGATGTGTTCTGAAAACTGGGCCCAAAACCAAGGATAAAGCAGAGTATGGGCTTAAAACCCAGAAAAAAATAGGCGTTCAACCCGGTTCCTCCCCGTCTGGCCCCCGTAAGACTTGGCTTTAGCACTGGTGTCTCCCAAACGTTCTGCACAGAGCTGGGAGTTAAGAGAGAAAATACACACCAAAGTGCCTGGTAGAGTGGGTGACCCTGACCCCTAATAGACAACATCCTTTAAAAACATATAACCAGAGGAGGGAAAGCTGACAATTATCTGGGAACAAATACGGAATACACTGTAGTTACTTTAAAAAAAAAAAAAAAAAAAGCACCAACCAAATAAATAGTGTTTTTTCTTCCTTCTTAATTCTATGTGGCCAAAGCATGACTCACACTGTATTTGCTTATGAAATGAGAATTCATTTTATGAAGTTGTCCTAGAAAACTTACACTGAGCCCCAGCTGATCTGGAGGGGACAAGAGGAGAGGCTGGCCTGCAGCAGGACTGATCACACAGGCTGGGTGCTGTTGTCTGTCCCCACTGAGGGCCACTGGGAGATGGGAACTGAGGTCATCGATGGTGAACTTGTGGCTCCTGCTTAAGAACCAGAAACCTCTGACTTCGGACATTTATGCTGGAGCTTCATGTACATTTCATCAACATCATTCAACAAAAATTTGAGATTCTTAAGAGCCCTTGAGAAAACGAAGCCTCTGTGACATCACTGTCCTACCCAATGAGCCTCAGTAGCGTAAGCAGATGACATGTGACCCAAGTACCAAGTAAGCAGGTTCATCTAAACAAGCTATAAATTTCAGCAGCACATTGAAGTTATATGAGCATGGGAATTTATCACTTAAGTTATATGTCTGAACAACAGAATAGACTTCAGAGGCTGTATCTTTACCGATCACTTTTTGTTAACAAGACAAAAGAATTGACGGTTTCTGCCAACTATTTGTTGGCCCCAATCCCATGATTAGCTGTTACCAGGCAACCATCAAGCATGCTTCCTCCCAAATCAGGAAAAGCCACTGCTAAATCTACGCTAATTACAAAAGGGGTCAAATTTTTTTGAATTTATTTTAAATTAAAAAAAATTTTTTTCTGAGACAGAATCTTGCTCTGTTGCCCAGGCTGGAGTGCAGTGACATGATCTTGGCTCACTGTAACCTCTACCTCCCGGGTTCAAGTGATTCTCCTGTCTCAGCCTCTCAAGTAGCTGGGATTACAGGCATGTACCACCATATCTGGCTAAATTTTTTTGTATTTTTAGTAGAGACAGGGTTTCACTATGTGGGCCAGGCTGGTCTTGAACTCCTGACCTTGTGATCCACCCGCCTTGGACTTCCAAAGGGCTGGGATTACAGGCATCAGCCACTGTGCCCAACCTAAGGGGACAAATATTTAAAAGCTTGATATGTATGAAGGATTTGGGAGGTGTCCTAATAAGAATGATTCTTACTAAACGAATGTAACTAAACACAATGCATATGTCTGCAGTGTATTGTTTCTGCCACTTTCCTAATTTCCCTCAAGAGGATACTAAACAAAACCAGGTGTTTATAATTTGTAGAAGCATGTCTTTTGCCTACTTCTCTAAGAGTAAGGATAAGGCCGGGCACAATGGCTCATGACTATAATCCCAGCACTTTGGGAGGCCAAGGCAGGCAGATCACAAGGTCAGGAGTTCAAGACCATCCTGGCCAATGTGGTGAAACCCCATTTCTACTAAAAATACAAAAATTTGCTGGGTGTGGTGAGGTGTGCCTATAGTCCCAGCTACTCAGGAGGCTGAGGCAGGAGAATCGCTTGAATCCAGGAGGCAGAGGTTGCAGTGAGCCTAGATCACCCCACTGCACTCCAGCCTGGAGACATAGGGAGACTCCATCTCAAAAAAAAAAAAAGAAGCAGCTGAGAGACCTAAGCCTTTTAAAATACATACACATTTGCAAAGAAATGATGAGGACACCACCACCAGTTCCACAGCCCTTACAGAGATATGTGCATATAATGCTCAGCAGCTTTCCTCTCAAGTTTCTGCCTTTGTCTGCATTCTCATTCCTTCTGTTTCAAGAGTCCCTCAGAACTCCCTGTGTGGAGAGAGTTTTGTAGCTCCCGAGGCTAGCCTTCTTGCCAGCAGCACTAAACTGTTGGTGGCAAAATCTCAAACAACCGTAGTTCTAATGTCTAGAGACCCTGCTTCATCCCTGAGAGGAGCTGAAGAAACAGAAAAGCTCAACACACACAGACACACACACAGAGACACACACCCACTCACACACAGACATACACACACACACACATATACACACATAGACACACACAGAGATACACACAGACACAGTCATACATATTTTGGTTCTCTTTCATATGCAAAGTAGAGTTTTCTCCCCAAAAGAAAAAATTCTAACTACAAAGACAAAGTCAAAACTAGAACAGGGTTAGCAAATGATGAACCAAACTGTACTCGCTGGAAGCTGAGTATGGCTTTTGCATTTTGTAATGGTTGGGGGGAGAAAGCATTCAAAGAAGAATAGTATTTCCTGACAAGTGAAAATTATATGAAATTCAAACTTCAGTGCCATAAATAAAATTTTATTGGGACACAGCACACTGATTTGTTTATGTATATGTCTACTTTGTGCTAAATAGTTACTATATGACCCTTTATAGAAAAAGTTTGCAGAAGCCTTAAGTGGAAGACAGACTGGTGACATTCTAGTTCTTGAAAAAGAAATTGATTTGGGATTAACTTTAAACATGATCAAAACAAAGCAAATAAGCCATTTCCCACCCAATGGCCTGAAGCCTAGGTTGCCTGAGTGTGTTTTATTCAGTGGCTGCATTACCAAAATTTCCAGAAAACAGTTCCTGTGGAATGCTAATGTAATTATTAAATTTAATAATCATAACTTGGAAGCTTTCTGATTTCACTAACCCAACCCTCTCTCCATCTCCGCACACAAACTCAAAATGTTTTTCTTAGATTGTTTCTCCTCTGTGTTATTAATGGAACAATCTGAGGCACTCATCAGACTGTCTATGTAAATCTACACCTTTTTTTAAGCTGAAATAATTCTGGTTATTAAAAACAAACACTGGTACTGTTTGTAGGTCTGAGAGGAATATGGAATCAATTATATTTTATGTGTAAATAAGGCCGCCCACCAGATAATGCTGGAGAGCCTGGAACTTTGTTAGAAAAGTGCTGATGCAGATGAAAATTTGGACATGCTCTCTCGAAAGTCAGAAACACCAAAGGTCCCTTTGCTTTTGCTACATTCTCCCTTGGGCTCTCCATTTACCAACCCACAGTATTTCTTAAAGCTCACTGGCCGCCTGCATCTCTGCTTATTCTTGGTGGACATGTGTTTTGCATCATATTACAACCCATAGTTTTTGCATAACCCTGGTGAGAGGAACCATCCTTCCCAATCCCAACCTCAACCAAAGCTTAGAAAAAGTATCATTTTCAACCTTTCAGAATCACTCCTAAGTAAATCCTAAAGTAGTATCTGTTAGCCAAAATTTAAATGTGTGCCCGATATAGGGAACTTTTGTACACTCTGCACTGACATAAAAAGGAGAAGGAAGAGCTTCAAGTTTTGTCAGTATATGCATTTTTAGAAGAGCATAAAAATTACATCAAAATTAGGCTGGGCGCGGTAGCTCACACCTGTAATCCTGGCATTTTGGGAGACCAAGGTGGGCGGATTATCTGGGGTCAGGAATTCGAGAACAGCCTAACATGATGAAACCCTGTCTCTACCAAAAATACAAAAAATAGCCAGGCACGGTGGCAACGCCTGTAATCCCAGCTACTCTGGAGGCTGAAGCATGAGAATCACTTGAACCTGGGAGGCGAGGCTGCAGTGAGCCGAGATCGTACCACTGCACTCCAGCCTGGGTGACAGAGTGAGACCCTGTCTCAAAACAAACAAAACAAAAAAGTAAAGAAAAATTTCAAAGTTGTATATTCCTGCCCTTAATCCTACAGGATAGAATTAGCACTCCTAAAATGAGCTGGAATTTTCTGGAATTTGTTGGGGATTCCTGCACCATTCTGTGCAGAGGCACACCTTGCTACTGCCACTCTGGGCCCCTAGTCTACTCTGAAAATAACCCCCGTGTCTTCAGGCTGTACCTGGTGAAAGTGCTATTCTGTGAATGAAGTTCACTTGCCGGTGAACTCACAGGTCTTTGGGAGCTTCAGGCCCACACTGTCCTTATAACACCTGAGCCCCCATCTGTGGTCAAGGACAACTGGGAAGAAGTGGAATCTGGCCCTAGAACTGGACACAAGAGTTCAAGTAACCTATGGCCTACTTGGCCTGGCTCAAAAGGAGAAGCTGAGTCATTCAGAGTCCCCAAGACTAGACTAGAATTAAACGAATAGACTCTTTTTTTTTTTTTTTTTTTTGAGACGAAGTTTCACTCTTTTGCCCAGGCTGGAGTGCAGTGATGCGATCTTGGCTCACTGCAATCTCCACCTGCTGGTTCAAGCGATTCTCCTTCCTCAGCCTCCCAAGTAGCTGGGATTACAAGTACCCCTCAGCACACCCGGCTAATTTTATTTTATTTTTGTATTTTTAGCAGAGACAGGGTTTTATCATGTTGGCCAGGCTGGTCTCAAACTCCTAACCTGGTGATCCACCCGCCTCGGCCTCCCAAAGTGTTGGGCTTACAGGTGTGAGCCACTGTGCCCAGCAAAGAATAGACTCTTTAAGGAGGAGGTAGGGAAAGGAGAAGCTACTAGGAGGCCAGAAGGCGGCTGTAGCCTGAGCAGATTTAACGCACCATGAACAAACGTAAGGAGGCAGTGAAGGACCTGGAAGCGCAGCAGGGGAGCCTAGCTCCTGCAGAGGCTCAAGGAGCACAGACAGAGGAGGACGCAGAGGACAGAGGAGCAGGTATCTGAAGCCCCTGGGAGAGCTCTTGCATGCTGGGGGGCTCTCCGGTTCCAGGCACTAGTTCCCACGGTGGTCCCTGGCCTAGGTACGGGATTTCCTTGACGACTACGAAACTGTCTTTGTTTTGTTTTTTGTTTCTTCTTGTGGTAGTTTAAATGCTCCTTATATTCAGAAATCCAAACCATGATACACCAGGTTTGAGGGTCTCCCTTCAACCCTTACAGGCCATTCAAAGTCTCTAAGGCCTCTCCTCTGTTAAGTGTGACAGCTGGATGCAGTGTGCCCTGCGGCCACTTTGGATTAATATCCTAGGACCCCATTTCTATGCCTCCATGAGTCCTCACGTGCCACTGCTTCTCTTTACCCATCGGAACAGAGAGATCGGGATCGGGGTGGGGGGGGCGGGTGTTCTGGGACTCACCCACAGTTACACACTGGGCAGGCGCAGAGGGGCACCTGGAAACCAGGTCACTGCTGTTTCCATGACACGGGTGGCCTCCTGGTATTAGAATTAAAAATTTATAAACAAGAAACGGGGGGGGGGGCGCGGATTTCACAGGAAAGTCTATGCTTTAAGCAAAGAAGAGGCATCTAAAGCCTGCATTCTCTGGGTGTAGCTAACCACTGGAGTAACAGCAAAACCAAAGCAGAGGCTGAGGAGAGATCTTTAGCCAAGGGAGGGTCTCTGGAGTCTGCTCTCTGCCCTCCAGGTGTGCGGTTTAACCCTTCCACAGCCAGCAGAGGCCCAGCCTCTACAGCGGAATCCCACAGAAGTGCAGCGGAACATTTTCTGGTTTATTACTGAAAATGGCAGGGTTAAACCTCACCTCACTCATTAAAAAGAATCTCACTTAGTAATGAAAACCCAACTAAGCTCTGCCAAGAGTGACCGATGGCCTTGGCTTCCTGGGCCTCTCAGTCCACAGTCACAGACCTACCTAAAAGAGGAATTTCGGCTTCCTTAAGTCACCAGAACTGGGTAAGCCCAGATCTCTAAAAACAATTTTGTATCTAAGCCTGACAGTTTGAACTCTCCCCAGTGTCAAAATAAAATGTCGCTAAGTGCCATCCTACCCATGTGGGGGTGGGGGCAGTGACTGAGGCTCCTGGCCAGTGAGCACCCATTCCTCCAGCAACAGTTCTATGACTTCCCCTGGGTGCCAGCACCCTAATGCAGGGCAAGCATAAGACCACAAGTCAAAAAACATACACTGTCCTCTGCTACAATTAACAGCTTAGGTGAAGGGGGATATGTTTTTAGGTCAACAGCAGGCAGGTCTGAATTTTGTGGGAGGAGATCTCTTTTTCCACTGGATTTGAATTCATACGGGATGGGTTAGCCATCCTGCCTCTATGAGGTGACAGTGTGCCTGAGAACCAGGCCAACAGAGAAGAGATTCTGAAGGATAGAAAGACTGGCTCTGCTGACTTAGAGCCATGAAGTTATGGCTTCATGACTGTCTGAAGTTAGACCTATTCCTGGACTTTCCACTTGGATAAAGCTAACTGATGTTCATGTGCACGAAAGCCACTTTGAGTCAACTTTCTCTCAGCTGCAAAGACAACTACTAGCTAATCCACTGATGATGAATTCCAACTGGAGACAAAGCTCAAGGTTACCTCTCCCACTGCCTTTAAGGAAAGGGTCTGCCAAGCAAATGGAATTATTATAGACAAGGATGAAGACAGAAACAGAAACAGAGATTCTGCTTAAGAAAAGTACCTGCTGGCATTGGGCATACACACCGTCACTAACTGCCAATAAAAGAGCCTTACCTAGTCTTATTTGGGGCAGGATGGCCTATCGGTATTCTACGCTTGGCAACCCTGTAGTTAGCATCTAGTTGACATGAAAAATATCCTTGTATCTTATAGCCAGGCATGGTGGCTCATGGCTATAATCCCAGCACTTTGGGAAGCCAAGGCAGGTGGATCACCTGTAGTCAGGAGTTCGAGACCAGCCTGATCAATAGGAATAAACCCCATCTCTATTAAAACTACAAAAGTAGTTGGGTGTGTTGGTGCATGCCTGTAATCCCATCTACTTAGGAGGCTGAGGCTGGAGAATCATCTGAACCTGGGTAGTAGAGGTTGCAGCAAGCCAAGATTGTACCACTGCACTCCAGCCTGGGCAACAAGAGCGAAACTCCATCTTTTTTTAAAAAAAAGGAAAGAATAGAAAAATCCATATATCTTTTAAAGGATATCTTTGAAAATACTTTATATCTTTTAAAAAATAAGGTGTATGGAGCTGGGTGCAGTGGCGCACGCCTATAATCCCAGCACTTTGGGAGGCTGAGGTGGGTGGATCACGAGGTCAGGAGTTTGAGACCAGCCTGGCCAATGTGGTGAAATCCCACCTCTACTAAAAATACAAAAAATTAGCCAGGTATGGTAGCAAGTGCCTGTAATCCCAGCTACTCTGGACGCTGAGGCAGGAGAATCACTTGAACCTGGGAGGTGGAGGTTGCAGTGAGCCAAGATCACGTCATTGCACTCCAGCCTGAGCAACAGGGTGAGACTCCTTCTCAAAAACAACAACAACAAAAAAATGTTTTAATTGGTAAGGTGTATGGTAATTAAAAAGATAGGATCCTAGCATAAAACTAGACAGCTAACTCAGTGAAAGTCTAGAAATAGATCAAAGCACTGGTGCAAAACAAGTGTACTATAAATGCAGCATTCAAGTCCACAGAAGAGATTTGGACAATTTAAACCCGGATGCAAAGAACCATCAAAAGTGCATGAGGGCCAGCCGAGCACGGTGGCTTACGCCTGTAATGCCAGCACTTGGGGAGGCTAAGACAGGCGGATCATTTGAGGTCAGAAGTTAGAGAGCAGCTTGGCCAACATGGTAAAACCCCATCTCTACTAAAAATACAAAAGTTAGCTGGGTATGATGGCAGGCGCCTGTAATCCCAGCTATTCGGGAGGCTGAGGAACGAGAATCGCTTGAATCTGGGAGGTGGAGGTTGCAGTGGAGTGCATTACTGCACTCCAGCCTGGGGGACAGAGTGAGACTTGGTCTCAAAAAAAAAAAAAAAAAAGAGCCAAGGCCATTGGACTAAAAACTGGGCCTTAAGAGAAGAATACAGGTGGCCAATCCACATGGGCAAGGGTGTCTACCTCAGCAATTGCAAAAATAAGGAAAATCAAGCCCAAAAAATCTCTATTTGTTCGATTAGCAGATACTTAAAAGACTGCCAACACCCAGAGATGACAGGAGAATGGTCAAATATAACAACACAGGACATCTAAGTTGACATAACTTGGGGAAGGGGTAGGGAGAGAAACTTGGATAAATATGGATCTCTCCCTGGTCCACCAATTCAGCTTCTAGGAATTAAACTTTACATTCTTACGGCCTGCCAATGTAAGGACTCGAGCTTTAGTACTGGACAGACCTGAGTGTGTCTTACAATCCCACCCACCCCTTGCTAGCTGGGGGACCCTGGGAAAGTTACTTATCTTTATCACCTGTGAAGTGGAGATAAAAAAAAAGCCTCTAAATCATAGGACTGTTAGAACTGCATTTATGTACTTAGCATAGCACCAGGCCTAAAGACAGGACCACAGGTTATGAGCACTTGCAGCGATACCCCATCCTCTGTGCTAGAGGCTGCCTCCACTGCCGGCTGCCCTGAAAGCTGGGCTAACAGCTCACAACCACCACCTACTACAGAAATCCTTTTAGCTGAAGGTCCCAAGAGGCCTGGGATTACAAGATTAATGATTGACAGTACAAAAGCCCCATTGCTTTGTCCCAAAAAGGACATCTCTGCTAGTGTGATGATGCTCCTATCAGGCCACAGCTAGACTTTGGGACCTCTTTGCTTGGCCCCTTCCTCATCCCGTTTCCCTCCCGCTCTTCCTCCTGAGAACAGTCCCTCAGCAAATCACTCACACCCAAGTCCCTGTCTCAGCCTGGGCTTCTAGAGAATCCTGCCTAAGACCCAACTGTTAGGATTTTTATTACCAGGCATGGGTGCAAGGGTCTAAGTCTCTGCATGTTTACCAAGGTATAATATTAAGAAATGGAAAACAACTAAAATGTCTATTCCCTCTGCTCCAGATGTTGAAAGGCTGATCTGTTCTCAATGCTGTCTCCTGGCACTGCCCTGGGTGGAGGACTTTTGCTGGGGAAAGGGAGATGGAAAGCTCACCAACAGATGAACTCATATAAGGGGACAATACAAGGGGACACTGTACACATAGTAAAAAAGAGTGCTGCATATCATATGAACTGACAAGACAGCTGGGTGCAGTGGCTCACAACTGTAATCCCAGCACTTTGGGAGGTGGGGTGGGGGAAATTACTTGAGGTCAGGAGTTCAAGACCAGACTGGCCAACATGGTGAAATGCCTTCTCTCCTAAAATACGAAAATTAGCCAGGCGTAATGGCACATGCCTGTAATCTCAGCTATTTGGGAGGCTAAGACAGAAGAATCGCTTGAACCTGGGAGGCAGAGGTTGCAGCCTGGGCAACAGAGCGAGACACTGTCTCAAAAAAAAAATTGACAAGAGAAGATGTTGATGCATACTATTGTATGGGGCAGCACATGCAGGCAGTATGAGCTCAGGCACAAGTAAAGTTTGTAGATAAAGTCGCATGTGAAAAGATATTCCACGTCCACAGCAGCAGTATTCACAGTAGCCAAAAGGTGGAAGAAACCCAAATGTCCCTCAACAGGTAAATGCATAAACAAAATGTGGTGTTATACATACATACAAGAGAGTATTATTCAGCCTTGAAAGGGACAAAAATTCTAGCACATGCTACAACATGGATGAACCTTGGGGACAGTGTGCTAAGTGAAAGAAGCCAGGCACAAAAGGACAAATACTGTATCATTCCACATATATGAGGTACCCAGAGTAGTCAAATTCATAGAAACAGAAAGAATGGTGGCTGCATGGGGGCTAGAGAGTTTTGCAAAATGAGAAAGTTCTAGAGACGGGTTGTACAACGATGTGAATATATTCAACCCTGCTGAACTATACTTAAAATTGATTAAAAGTACAGTTTATATTATGGGTATTTTACCACAATTAAGAATTAAAAAGAAAATTTAAAAAATTTTCCTGGCTGGGTGCAGTGGCTCACGCCTGTAATCCCAACACTCTGAGAGGCCGAGGCAGGTGGATCACAAGGTCAGGAGTTCGAGACCAGCCTGGCCAATGTGGTGAAACTCCATCTCTACTAAATATACAAAAAAAAAAAAAGCCAGGCATGGTGGCGCATGCCTATAATCCCAGCTACTTGGGAGGCTGAGGCAGAAGAATTGCTTGTACCCAGGAGGTAGAGGTTGCAGTGAGCCAAGATTGCACCACTGCACACTAGCCTGGATGACAGAGCAAGACTGTGTCTCAAAATAAAAAAAAAAAAAGAAAAAAATCTAAAATGTAACAACATAGAGGTAGGGATACTTTTATTCAGTTCTTTAAACTGTTTCCTTGTTTGACCATTCTACATGAGTATATATTGACTTAATAATTAGAAAATACAGTAAGCTATTTAAGTTCTGAAAAATACTAATCCACTACAAAAAGATAAATGTTTTACTACACTACGCTGGTAATCTAAGTCATTCAGGGGTTTGGGTCATTGGCAGTGAGGGTGTACTTGTTTTTAATAGGGTATAAATTTAACTGTGGCCACTTGTTTTGTCAGCTTCCTCTCATTTCTTATCTCAGCTCAACCAAAAGAACTTAAATGACATCATCAGTCATTGTTCTGTGACCATTAAAATGCCTAGGTTGATTCCAGAAAAACTGCCAACTAAAGATACTTTTAGAAAATTCTCCTTCCAGATTTTCTTGATTCATTCACTCAACAAATACTTAAGTACTTAATAAGTGCCATGTCACACACAAAGTCTCAGGGACACAATGGTGGCCCAGATAAGCCCAGTTCATGGATCCTGAACTGGGAAATGACAGGCACGAGACGGGCAGGGTGGCATGGAGCGCTCCTTGGGTTTCCTACTGGGCCACACATGCACGCACAAACACACAGACACAGTCACTTAGGCTGTCTTTCTCGACAATGTTGATGTTAGCCAACCTGGAACCTTCCAAATTCCCAACACGGTAAGAGATTTTCAGCAATTATGACAGTTGAATCTGCCTAATCTGAGACACTCTCATAAACTCAGCCTAAAAGAATGGAAATTTCTTTCTCACTCAAATTTAATTACTCTTCCCTGCTTGCAGTAGAGGTCACCTCCCCAATAATCATGCCTTAGAAAGCCTAGTCATCTCCTTGAATTATTTTCCTAAATGCACTTGATAGATGTTCTTTGATACCAGACCCCCCTCCATATCACCTGGCTCAGACAAACAAAGAGAAGGGTGATAAATGTGTCTTTGATGCCCAGGGCCCAGCCTCATTCTAGGGCACAAAGACGATCAATCGTTTTTATTCCTTCTACTCATTCTAGACTCTACATCTCAATACCTTTCTGATCTTAAAATCATTTCCTGAATTCTTGTCTCTTGGTCAGCATCACACAGCAGTATCTTGGTGAGACAGCATGATTAATTGCTAAATATAATCTTTAATGTCGGCATAACGCTGAAAGGATATACAATGAAAACAAGATCTTATAACGAGGATGAACTCAGCCATCATATAGTCCATCAGCTCACCCTTCCACTCACGCAGAAGATCAAAGGCAAGGGCGACAAACCAACTAATGCATCTGGGTGTCCAGTCTCCCAGATATGTCTTTTTCCCCCTTCCCCGAACTCTCCTCCATGGCTCTGCCGTCCTCAGAATGTTGTCCACAGCACGGTTAGAGGAACAAAAACAGGCAGACCCCAGAACTGCTGTGGAATGGAATGAATATGCAACTCAGACTCACGACAGGCTTAGAAAACTGCAGGGAATTTTAGATGTCCCTCTGCCGGAACGATCTGCGTGGGCTATACTGGATATCAGCTCGGAGTTCCTTTTCTAGCATTAACATCAGATTTGTGCTGATCCAGCCATATTCTCCTGGTGGCTCCTCTGGGATCAAATGCCCATCAATCTGTGAGCCAGATGGCTGAAGCTTATGTGTAGCTGCTGGTCACAGAGGGAAGTGGGACTAAAGGGGCCCATGCAGATGGTGAGTGGAGCTCTCTAACCACTGGCTGCACCTATTCCAGGCAACTGTCTAAGAACAATGCTGCTTTCCTTTCTCCCAAGGTCCTAGATAAACTCCTTGTTATAAACTACTGCAGCAATGGCCCAGGACAATCATGCTTTCCTGTATCCACACCCTCCTGTGGTCCCCACCAAAAGAAATCTGGCTTGGCCTCATGATTTGCTGTAGCCAACAGGACATCAGCAAATATGAAACAAGGAGAAACTGTGAAAGTGCTTGCATACTGGGGCTTGCTTTCTCGCGTTGCTGGGAACCCTTCTGCCATCATGTGAAAAAGCTTGGAATCGCTTCCTGAAGGATGTGAGACCCCATGGAGACAGGCCCCAGCTGTCCTAGCCATCCCAGCTGAGGTCCAAATATACAAGGGAGCCCAGCTAACACCACGAGGAATAGAGATGAGCCAACGTAGAGGATGCTGAGCAAATAAATGATTCTTCTTTTTTTTCTTTTTTTTTTTTTGAGATTCTCACACCCAGACTGGAGTACAGTGGCATGATCATGGCTCACTGCAGCCTCGACTTCCCAGGCTCAAGCAATCCTCCTACCTCAGCCTCCCGAATAGTTAGGACTACAGGCATGTGCCACCGTGTCCAATTTTTTTTTTTTTAATATAGAGAGGGAGTCTTACTATGTTGCCCAGACTGGTCTCTAACTCCTGGGCTCAAGGGATCCTCCCACCCCAGCCTCCCAAAGTGCTGGGATTACAGGCATTAGCCACCACACCCGGCCAATGATGATTCTTGTAAGCCATTTAGTTTGAGGTGTTTGATCAGCAGCAGAAACTAACTCATAGAATATTCCATGCATAGAACCTGCACCACAAACCAGGATTGCAAGACTGCAATTGGCTTCAAGATGCAGTTTGAAGCTTTAGTGAGTACCTAATGCAAAAAAAAAAAAAGAAAGATAAAACAGTAAAAGCAATCTTGACAATACTTTATAAAGCCTGGCTTCTACAGGTGACTGAGGAAGCTCATAGGATGAAATCGCCTGCACGAGGCACTGCTGTTTTACACCCCACAGCAGCTCACTCAAGCTAACTCTTCCCACCAATTCAGCAATGCCAGCCTCAGGCACTGCTACCTCACTTCCTGTGAGATGTTTTAGAAGGCAAGGGTTCTGGGTGTTAGTACTGGAGCTGACAGGTACTGTCTTCTCTCTAAGAGTTCCTTCTGCCTCTAAGAGCCAGGAAGAAATCTGGACACCCTGGAGGGAATCACTCTGAAATCACTAGACAATCATTGTACACTTGAAAGTGCCTGTTTCTTATTAAGCAGCTCAAAACGTCACCTAAGAGAAAGGCAAATTTCAGCAGGGGTAAAGCGTAGGGTCCCACAGGAAGACTTCACTTATGGGAGTTTCTCTTAGAAGCACACCGAATCCTGACACTCCTCTGTCTCTGTGGGATCTGAAATGGTGACAAGCAGGAGTTTGGCAACTTTGATGAAACAACTGAATCTGCCTCCTTTCCCACCGCATAGAGATCCCTCCTTTCCCTGATCCTCTTATGGTACCAGTTCAGGCCCTGTTAGGAAAGGGGCCGCACAGCAGGAGGCAAGCGGCAGGCCAGCCAGCATTACTGCCTGAGCCCCGCCTTCCCTGTCCCATTAGCTGCAGCATTAGATTCTCACAGGAGTGCAAACCCTACTATGAACTGCGCATGTGCGGGATCTAGGATGCATGCTCCTTATGGGAATCTAAGGCCTGATGATCTGAGGTGGGACAGTTTCATCCCAAAACCATGCCCCAACCACGGTTCATGGAAAAACTGTCTTCCAAGAAACCACTCCCTGGTGCCAAAAAGGTTGGGGACTGCTATATCAAGGCATCTAATATCCCCCAACTAGCCAGGAAGTTTCTAGAGAGTATGAACTACGTTTTAAACTTCCTTCACTCTGTCCCTTTTTCTTTTATTTATTTATTTAGTTAGTTATTTATTTCATTTCATTTCATTTTGAGATAGAGTTTTGCTCACGTTGCCCAGGCTAGAGTGCAATGGCGCGATCTCAGCTCACTGCAACCTCCACCTGCTGAGTTCAAGTGATTCTCCTGCCTTAGCCTCCCAAGTAGCTGGGACTACAGGCACATGCCACCATGCCCGGCTAATTTTTGTACTTTTTAGTAGATGATGTTTCACCATATTGGCCAGGCTGGTCTTGAAATCCTGACCTTGTGATCTGCCTGCCTCAGCCTCCCAAAGTGCTGGGATTACCGGTGTGAGCCGCCACAAGCAGAACTTTTTAAGGAGAGAGAGCAGCCTCATGCTTGCTATGTTCAATCTCCTGCACTGGAGTAAATGACGTAGCTACGTTTTACAAATGG